TAAACACACAACTCCACCTCGATCCCGCACGATCAAATGTTGACTCCTCTAAGCCCGTCTCAGTATGCCTCTCCACGTGCACACGTGCGCATGCACATGCATTCATTGGTGTGCAGGCGTAGTGGAGACAATTTGGTGTACTTTAGTTTACTTTGGAAAGTAGTGCCTGAAATCTGCAGACCGGTACCACCGAACCACTAGACCGGACTGATTTGCAGCTGATGTGATGACACTCGAGGGGAGCATCGCTTCGAGCAGTCGCCCTCGATTTGCGGTGATTTAATCAAGCATAAAGGCTCGTAGATCTGATCCTGGCCGTGAAAGGTCATATTTACGCACAAAGCCTGGACCAGGGCTTCGAGAGGCATAATCACATGTTCTCTTACTTTTTACCTGCTTCTATTCGTTTGGAAGGCTTGTCAAAGATAGAGAACCTGCCGAATAGAGAGTAGAAAATTCTACTCACACAACAGTGCCATACTGAGGATGTTAGAGCCTGGACGAGACGCCTGAGTCTGGGCGAGAATAACGCAGGATACACAATGATTGACTCTTCAAACCTCATGAATTAACGCCAACTGGAAGTGCATACACTCTTTCTAATTAGGAAATCTATACAAGTGACACGACTGGTTGGTGCTGGTGTGGCTAGTGCACATGGTTGCCAAGGCGCCGGTACTGGTGTCGACCAAGTGGCTTCTGACCTTGAGGGATTATGAAGCGTTAGGGAAGGCGAGAAATGAGGTGATGGACCTGCTAAGTGATCTCTGTAACCGAAGGTAAGAAGTGGCAAAGCCAGCTACTGATGTTTCTGGTCTGCCAGAGGGGGTGAGGCCTAAAAACTTGAAAGATATTTGGGAAAAGTTGGGGAAACTCACTGGCTAATCATGTCCCTTAGCCTTCCATTTTAGTTATCTGCTAAGCCAGCAGTTAGACTGGTATATACTATGAGATGTATTCACCCAATTTCGTTTAAGGTGATGAAGGACTAGTAGAAGAAGAATTTTCCCACAATGACGTTTCCATTGAATTTCACATTACCTTGCTTTCCCAGAAGTTGTTCTCATCCAGGCACCAGTGGACTGCAGTTTCGAACTCGCATCGGTCAAATCAACACCCTCAGCGGGAGTCGAACCACGACAGTGCAGGATGGGAGCTTGACACACTAACCCCTCGGCTGCACTGCCACGAACGCCTTTTGGGTTACAGGGCAAATGTGAATTTTCAAGGAAGGCCAGACATTTTTTACCATATTATATTCTTTTGGTGGAATTGTCGAGGAAACAAACGTATATCGACTAGTATACTTTATTTTTCGAATTAAGTATTGTTTTTGTGACTACCAGTAAATCAGTAATATGAGATTTGGGTGAATACATATCATATTACTGATTTACTGGTAGTCACGAAAACAATACCTTATTCGAAAAATATTGTATATACTAAACCAACGTATATATATGCCATTAAAGTATTGGGTAAACTAATCTCATAAAAAGTGCTCGAGAATGGCTTGACTTCAACCCATGTAACCGGTCCCCTTCTTCACGAATCTTCAATCTACCGGTTGTCTTGACAGCCTACTTTAAAGACGATTTTTATGGCAAATACAAGTTTGCTTCATTGACGATCCTAACAAAAAAGGTGATATACCAAAGGCCTGACCTCCATTGAAATTCTCTTCTGCCCTGCGATCCCAGTGCACTCATAGAATTTCGGCGTAATAGTTAAACTGTCGAGACCATATGTTGCACTGCCCGGGTACCCGCCCAGCTGGGGGGCTGATGAGACCAAAACAAGGTCGAAACTACAGTCTACTCCAGTCGGGATGTGAATACCTTTTGGGAAGCATGGCTCTATGAAATCAAATTGAAACGTGAGGCCTACGCATATGATTGTGGGAAAATTCAAATACCAGCCCTTCATTACCTTAAACGAAATAGGGTGAATACAGCTTTTATTCATAATCTACTGGCATTCTCGATAGCCTATTCAGAATGCTTATTGGGAATATCGGTGAATGCTAGGCCATTTGGAAACCCAAGAGATGGAGTTTGAATACTCTTCACCTTTCACTGAATAAGACAGATCCTAGTTAGGAGGAGCTGGTTGCAAGTTCAAGTCCTAGTAACCGAGTTTTTTTCACTAATTGCTACTGACAGTGTGATAATAGTAAATAGGAGAGAAAAAACAGGTGGGCCAATAGCTTTGAAAGAATTCCGACCTTATGATACTGCATACTCTGCAACCCAGCAACCTTTGTGAACACATAGGTTCCCACTTTTCACACACCCCTCCTCAAACACACAGGTCCACCTACGCAATACACACTCCGTTCACTCCATGCGGGCCTACTTACATAGTTGCGAGCAAAACTTCAACCTCTTGCGTCCTCCTAATTCATCCTAGTCCCCGCACAGGCACAGACACGCACACGTACATGCCTCCCATACACAGGCTGTTTAGATATAGGAAGCATATTGTAATCCATTATGAAGCAGAAATGTAAAATATGCTCATCTTTTTCTCGTATAAATCCCAATTCTCGAAGGATATTTGTTCTAAGACATGTGTAGAGGCATAAAAGCAGCCCTAATCAGCCATAATCCAGGAAACTAACCGTGCCCAAAATTGTGCCTGCTGCTGAGGCCTCCAATAGCGTGAAAGTGGCCTGACAACTGGTGAAACTAGGCCGGTGTAGATTGACTTCGTAGACCTGGACAGTGAGTAGGAAGATTTGGCTGGTGAGGATACTGCCAACGGCAGGGCATCCGGGACAAGTGCCATCGTCCTGGGCGACCAGATTCAAAGTGTAGTTAGTTGCTATACTCGGAGGACTGGTCATGCTGATCTGCCCATTAACGGGGTTAATATTGAAGATGTCGCTGATGGTTTTTGTTGGAGTCGCTAGTGTGGCACCTGCATAGATAGAGAAGTAGCGTGAATATAGAAATTAACTTTGGGCTATAAGACCCTCTAGATGGCTCAGCGAGCTTAGCGGTTCGTTATCTCAGGGCCAGATTCATATCGGCCTCTTTTGGTTCAGTTTGAAGCTTAGTTCACTTGCAGCATCAACGAATATTTCTGCATATTATTCGCAGGAATGATGCTGGTAACGGGTATACAATATTGTATTGTTAGTAGTAGAATCTCTCGCAAAATCGGGTGACGACTTTTCATGCGAATTTCATCATAGAACTCAACTGTTGTAATATGCAGTTGGTGGAATAGAAAGCGTGGTTTGACCAGCGAAATTTATTTTACAGCCCTTGCCTCAAAATGCTCTAACTTCAATCGGCCACAATTGTTTCCTCACACAGTTTTTCAGGGTTATTAGAACTGGAGATCCATGGTCTTGAGATAAATGTACCTCATTTTCACTAGCCTTTGATGTGGAGTCTGTTGGAAATTATGAATAGATGTATAAATAATATTTTATTGAAGCTATTAAGACCAAGATAGTGTGGCCTTTTGTGTGGTTGCAGTCTCCTTTCGTTGTATAAAAGTCGTTTGACCTTGTTTTCGCAACTTGGTCATATTGTTAGAAATACTTAAGGGAACGCACCTAGTCTGGAGTCCATTGTATGCATGATTATTTCCATAGTAGGACTGTGGATGTGGTACATTCTCAGACGTTTCGCCGGCATCGTCAGTGAGTCTTGCCAGCCTTAGCACAACACTACAGCTCATCAAAGAGACAAGTGATTTTTAGACGAGTTGTTGACGAATTGTAGTATGGTGCTAAGACTCACTGACGATGCCGGCGAAACGTCTGAGAATGTACCACGTCGACAGTCCTACTCTGGAAATAATCATGCATATAATGGACTCCGGACAAGATGCGTTCAACTAGGTCTTCCTACCAATGTGACCAAGTTGCCAAAACAAGGTCAAACAACCTCTATAATACTTTATTGTTGGATGTTCAGAACTTCGAGAGGAACTTTCGAGGGGAATGCGAAAGCTGACTTCGAACGTTGTGGCGGTTGAAAACAAGGGAGCTGAATAAACGTTAAAATCAGAGTATATGAAGACCAAGATGCAGTGGCCTCTGTTATGTTATTCTTGAGAAATAGCGCTAGGAGTGAAATGCACACAGGGACTGGAACCAAGTGAAATCGGTCAACCAGAAAGATAAGAACGGGATCCACGAGACAATGAAGGTATCCGGATTGGAGGCCCGAGTCGGATAAGCCGATAGAAAGATAGGGATCGGGGTAGATAGCAAGTGTGATGGGGCCACACTAGAATTGCCACAAAAGGGCACACATTTTGACTATTGAAATGTATTTTCGTATTAGAGTAGAGTTTCGAGACTACCAGTAAAT